TCTAACAAAGTTTGGGGGTGCTTTGTCATGTCCCCCTTCATGTCTGGGCTCTTGTCTGGCTCACAGCCAGACTCCTAAGGTATCCTAGACACTGGGACCTGGGTTTGTGTCACAAGTAGATGTAATCTATTGTCAGCAAAATTTTCCAGTGTGAGTGGGCTAAAATGGCTAATAATGTTGCCTCTGTCAATTTGAGATAATTGCATTTTGAGGATCTCCTGCCTTCAGAAAGGCCCTAAACAAGCCATGTCCCTCCCATAATATTTAGGGATTGCTGTTACCCTGAAGGTATTTGCTCCTGAGAATCATGATTTTTTGCATTATTAAAAAATATTATTCATTTATTGTGTATTTAATAATATTTCAGTTTTTATGATGGATTCAAATATTTTTACATTTGATGGGACAATTTTTGTAGTTTTCAATGCATTTCTAAGTCTAGGAAGCATTTGATTTGCATTTTATAGATTTTTATTTACTGCATAGTGGATAACTTTAATCCTAACTTTATTGATATTATGGGAGGGTTTACCTTTGGGATTGAAAGTCACTAATATTTGCTGCATTTTTATTATTATCAATTTGTTTTTTAGAGTAAATAATTATCATAATTGTTTCCTCTCTGCAGGAAAAGGTGACTATGATACTCATGATGATAAGGAAAAGAATGATAATGTCAGTGTCAGTATATATTAGTAATAACAGTAATCAATATGATAATGCCTCCACTTGCTTCCCCTTACAACAGCATGACGTATGGGGTGAGTGTGCGGGACCTGTGCATCCGCTTCAATCCACAGGCGCTCAATGTGGATGAGCGGAGACTCATTCAGTTTGGCCTCCTGCACAACCTCATCCGGCGGCTGCATCAGTATCCAGTGTTTCTCAGTCCTGATGGGGGAGGTGGAGGAGGAGGAACAGGAGGAGGGGCTCCCCCACCCCAGGGCACCCCCAGCAGGCTGAGTGCCATACACCGGTTGTGCAATGGTTCACACTCCTACGATGAGATCTGCAGCCGGCTGGGAATGACGCACAAGGAATTGCATGACAAGGTGGAGAGGGACCCCAACATCCATGTGTTGTGGAAGTGAAGGCGATGCAAAGGGTTGATTCCAGAGTGGAGAGTGAAGCCAAAGTGGGACTTGGAATAGCGTTGGCATAGGAAGTGGGAGGTGGAGTACGGCTTAAGCCTGAAGTGGAAAGTCTAAGAGAAGGGGGAGGATAGTGATAAAGGGAAGTGTAAAGGAAAAAGGAAATGGAGGCTGTTGGATGGGAAATAGAAAAGGAAAAGTGAAGGGAGAGCTGGCATTGAATTGGGGTGGAAGTATGAAGTGTGAAGTGTGAAGTAGGAGGTGATGTGAAGAGGAAGCAAGAATGATACACTTCGATTTTAATTGTTTATTTGTGTGTTAAATTGAAATTTGTTACCTAATTCTTTTGGGCTAATATGATTTTAAAAAGATTTCCTCATTGTTGTGCCTTCTAATTTCTGTGTTTCCCTTATTTGCTTGATCTCTTAGAATTATTTTTATTCTTTATACTCATCCTCTCTTACATTACAACCTCCTCGTCCATTATTAATAAAACCTTAAATATCAAGACACAGTAGAAGTAGATAAAAACAAGTGGTAGCAAAGACAGCGTTGTGCATTTATGGAGCATTGGATTTGTGTGTAGGTGGCAGTGGTGGAAAGAGTATTTGTGGAATGAGTGTGTGGGTAATTTGTTCAGGTGTGTTTGTGTTGAGGCAAGAAATCTAGGAAGGCCATCTGATAATCATTTGCTCAAACAAGGATTTTGCATTTTGATATTGAAGCAGAAATAATGACTCTTTCATTGTGACAAATGTAGAAAATGCCTGAATGAGAATAAATAAATCCACAGTATGGTATATGTAACTGACATGTATGTATTACCTCTTCATGTGAATCAGGTCATTGTGGTGAAAATAGGATAGTGAAGCATGCATTGCAAATCTTGCGGTGTGGATGTATTAATTCTCATTCATTCCTTTTCTAAATACTACAACTGTAATATGCCAGAGTATTATATACAACTGGATTTATTACAATATCATCACATTTCTCTCTATATATATTATAGCTTGTATCTGACAGAGTTTATTAACTAAAGGAAATATGTTTATATAGACCTAATTGTGATAAACTGAAATAAAGGTTTATGTCTACAAAATATTCTTTTCATTCTTGAGTTTTTCTTGTACATGTAAGAATAAGGATTTGTATTTAATCACTACATGACAGTAATATCAGTTGTGGTAAATGGAGAAATATAAAGCGATCATAGAAGTCTTTCATGAATTAATTATCAAATTTAATGTTTTTTATATCAATAACAAAGACACAAGTAGAGGAAGATAACACCCAGTGGTGGAGAGAAGTTTCCTAATATGTTGCTCCAAACTAGCACAGGCAAGGAGAGAGGGAAGTGGTGATTAGGGAAGGACGGGGAAGGGAATTCTAGTATGGGATTTACGCTG